CTTTCAGGTGTCTAGTTTTTACTTCTCTGTCTTCTGACATTCTTTCAATATGCCCTAACCATTTAGTCTGTTAGCTCTCATGATGCCAGTGATCAATGGTGATTTAAACAGATTATGCATTACGTTGTTGTTTCTTATTCTCCATTCTCCGCTGTTAGCATCTTTGATGGGTCCATAGATTTGTCGTAAGACTGTTTTCGAAAACCTATAATAAGGCCTCATCTCTTTTATTTCTGCTTCAAGTTTCAGAGCCGTATAAAACTACTTTTCTTATGAACGTTTTATATATTTTGGTCTTGATGTTGCAAGACAGACACTTTGACTTTAGTGTCTGTCTGACTCCCAACAAACACTGTCCCAGCTAACACCATCTCTGTGGCTGTCTCTGTCCTAGCTATCACCTTCTCTGTGGCTGTCTGACTCCCAACAAACACTGTCCTAGCTATCACCTTCTCTGTGGCTGTCTGACTCCCAACAAACACTGTCCCAGCTATCACCTTCTCTGTGTTTGTTGGGAGTCAGACAGCCACAGAGATGACTGAGACCAGAACTATTAATATGCAGACAAGATCATTAAAAAAAAATCAAAACAATTTGTTACTAGTCACAAGTAGGCAGTGAGTGTGATCAAACTGATTGTAATTACGTGGGGATGTAACTGTGTGCAAATGAATGCAGAAATAATTTGATAAAATGGTAAAACCCTGTACGCACATTTACTTTATGGTGTTAGGGTTGATCCCATGGGGCTCAGTCTCCACAGTGGCAGGATGGCATGCAGTGGTGGTGCACAAAGCTACAGCCATGACATGAATGCAATCGGATCCATCCTCTGCCGAGCACAAGGTTTTATAACCTGAACCTCTGCCTGTGCAACCCCCATAGGTTTGGGTTACTCTGTGTGCCTCTTGGCTCAATTAAATAAATAGACCTTCAGGTAATATCATCAATAGATAAACTGTTGCGATGAACCCTGTTAATACAAAGCTCTATTCCCACAACAGATCTCTAGTGATTTAGACACATTGGCAGAACCACATCTCTTTATTCACTAAAGCAAGTTCCCAAAACATGAGACTCGAACACCATCACTTTTCAAATTTAATTAACATTTCTCAACAAATAATATAAGCTACATTGACAACATTACTGAAATAAAATGGTTGAGATAATCCAACTGAACAGGGACCCCCTAAAAGCATTTGTGAGAGGCTGCTAGCTACAGAACAATAATGATCCCCATATGTGTTCCAGGACTCCAGTTTGGGTTTTAAAACAATGAACACCCCCACTGCCTCCTAACAAACATGTTGTACAAGACAACTAACTGACGGTCCCCTGAAATCTGGTGTGTTGGGCAGTAAATGCAGATATATACAGCAGTGTTCCAACGTTTATATGTGGTTAACATCTCTGCTAGATCCCAGCAGAACAAGTGAAATGGTTGGTGATAAAACTCAGTCTGCACAGAAATCACAGTTAAGTCGACCACGTGATCTCCTGGTGGTATAGTCAGTTGGCAGGTGAGTTTAATGGCCAGGCCATTTCACTTGTTGTCATCCAGCACTGCTACTAGCTCTGTTTTCTTGTGGTTGTTGTGTTTGATAAAAACTTTAATACTGAACCACCGAGCAAACAAATCCTTAAAGCTATCCACACTTTAAAGAACAACAAAGCACCAAGCAAAGATGAACTGCCAGCAGAACTTCTCAAAGTAGATCCCAACACATAGCATTCTAGAAACATTGTTCAAGGATATTTGGGAAAAAGAAGTGTTGCCTGATGACTGGACCGAAGGAACAATAGTCCAAATCCCCAAAAAAGGAGACTTAACAGACTGCAATAATTGGAGGGGAATTACTCTACTCTCGATACCAAGCAAAATATTTTGTAAAATCATCATAATGAGGCTTGAAAAAGGAGTAGATAAATGCCTACGAGTAAAACAAGCAGGATTCAGAAAGGGCAGAGGAACAACTGAACACATCTTCGCCATACGGAACATTTTAGAACAATGCAATGAATGGCAGAGAAGTATATATATTAATTTTGTGGACTTTGAGAAAGCTTTTGACAGCGTCCATAGAGACGTTCTGTGGAAAATTTTACGACATTATGGAATTCCAGAAAAGTAGTCAATATAATTGCTCTCATCTATGAAGACTTTTCCTGCAGTATAAAAAATTACAATACATCTTTCCCAGTAAAGACGGGTGTGAGACAGGGATGTGTTATGTCATCTCTCCTCTTCAACCTTGTGATTGATTGAATACTAAAGAACACAGTAGACAGGACATTGAGAGGCGTACGATGGACTCCATTCACCATGCTTGAGGACCTTGATTTTGCAGATGATATAGCACTCCTATCACATAAACATGAACATATACAAGAAATAAGTAACAGACTACACAGCACAGCAGAAATGGTGGGACTGAGAATAAATACAAAGAAAACTAAGATCATGACAAGCAGTCCAAACCAACAACCAGTGACCATAAATAACCACACTCTTGAAAATGTAGAACATTTCACATATCTTGGCAGTGTGGTGTCCCTGCCGGGAGGGACCGAAGAAGACATACAGTCACGTCTGAACAATGCTAGAGCTGCTTTTGGAAGTAAGAGGCAAATCTGGAAATCCGACAATTACTGCAGAGGAACGAAACTCCGACTCTACAAGAGCATCATTTTGCCAGTTCTTCTTTATGGAGCGGAATGCTGGAGAATGACCAGAAAGGATGTACACAAGCTGTCCACGTTCCACCACATATGTATCAAAATGTTCTGGCCAGATACAATCTCAAACACTAAACTACTTCAAGTCACAAACCAAGAAACTTTAGACAATATGATAACCAAGAAAAAATGGAAATGGCTTGGCCACGTTATGAGAATTAATTCTGATATACCTGCCAAAACAGCTCTCACGTGGACACCAGAGGGAAAGAGAAAACAGGGGCGCCCAAAAACAACATGGAGAAGAACGATGGAAAGGGACATGAGTGCTGCATCTTTGACATGGAAAACTGCACTGAAGATTGCACAGGACAGGAAAGCATGGAAAGTCCTCTCTGAAGCCTCATGTGCCACTAGGCACAACGAGAACTGATGATGATGATGTTGTGTTTGATGCTTGTCAGATGGTTTTTGTTGGTTATTGTGTTTGATGCTTGTCAAATGGTTTTTGTTGGTTGTTGTGTTTGATGCTTGTCAGATGGTTTTTGTTGGTTGTTGTGTTTGATGCTTGTCGGATGGTTTTTGTTGGTTGTTGTGTTTGATGCTTGTCAAATGGTTTTTGTTGGTTGTTGTGTTTGATGCTTGTCAAATGGTTTTTGTTGGTTATTGTGTTTGATGCTTGTCAAATGGTTTTTGTTGGTTGTTGTGTTTGATGCTTGTCAGATGGTTTTTGTTGGTTGTTGTGTTTGATGCTTGTCGGATGGTTTTTGTTGGTTGTTGTGTTTGATGCTTGTCAAATGGTTTTTGTTGGTTATTGTGTTTGATGCTTGTCAGATGGTTTTTGTTGGTTGTTGTGTTTGATGCTTGTCAAATGATTTTTGTTGGTTATTGTGTTTGATGCTTGTCAAATGGTTTTTGTTGGTTGTTGTGTTTGATGCTTGTCAGATGGTTTTTGTTGGTTATTGTGTTTGATGCTTGTCAAATGGTTTTTGTTGGTTGTTGTGTTTGATGCTTGTCAGATGGTTTTTGTTGGTTATTGTGTTTGATGCTTGTCAAATGGTTTTTGTTGGTTGTTGTGTTTGATGCTTGTCAGATGGTTTTTGTTGGTTGTTGTGTTTGATGCTTGTCAGATGGTTTTTGTTGGTTGTTGTGTTTGATGCTTGTCAGATGGTTTTTGTGTTTGATGCTTGTCAGATGGTTTTTGTTGGTTGTTGTGTTTGATGCTTGTCAGATGGTTTTTGTTGGTTGTTGTGTTTGATGCTTGTCGGATAGTTTTTAATGTCTGGAATATGCAGGAGTTTAAGGCAATAAGCAGGTAGATTTTTTTGGGAAAGGTGGGGGAGGGAATTGAAAAAGCAAAATGTGATGTTTGGGAGGACGCTAACACAGAAATGAAGATGTATGAATAAGGTGACATTCTGAAGACCAAGCATGAATTTATACTAATGGAAGATTCGGTGTTGGATGAAATAACCAAGGTCAGGTTGTAGAAATTTGGAATTACGCAAGTGAGCATCTGGAGAAAATAGGAGTATTAGATCAAAAGTATGATGATATGCAAGCAGTGTGCTAGGGAAGCGTGGGCATCTACACCTTCAGACATGGCCATTCAGCTGAGGTTACTCAGGGAGCAAAATTATGACACATTTAGGTCATAACGGGTCAGAGGTCGGAGTCCCAGTGTAGACAAATAATGATTACAATACAATTTTGTTAATGATCCGCAGGCCACTTGCTATGCCTCTCCTGGTCACATATGGTCCCTGGGTCACTTGCTAGGCCTCTCCTGGTCACAGGTGGTCCACGGGCCACTTGCTAGGCCTCTCCTTGTCACATATTGTCCCTGAGCCACTTGCTAGGCCTCTCCTGGTCACAGATGGTCCCCGGGCCACTTGCTAGGTCTCTCCTGGTCACATGTAGTCCGTGGGCCACCAGTTGGACAGCCCTGCCTTGAGACATTTAATGTGGGAGATAGAGCCTGGTGTGCTATAGTGTGGTGGTGTATGTTGTTAATGTTGCCTGTTTGACATATTTAAGCGGAAAGAAGTTTAATAAAATCCTATAATAGACTGCAATAAGAAGAGTTTATGATAAACATTTTTGTTGAAATATGTACAGATTTACATACAAATGTAAAAACATAAACTTAACATATTTTGATTAGGCTGTAATATCCTGTGTGGAATGGGAGGTCATAGTTCAACAGGGGTTCATGGAGGGGTTAAATTATAAGGTTGAAGTCATGGCCTCTGTTAGGGAAACATGGATTGGCTTTCATGATGATGGTCTTGTATTTCGAAAACCTGGGTCAGATTTTGGTGTCATGTTGTATTTTCTTTCTGCTGAACAAGAAAGGCAATAAATTATTGTCATAATTGAAGTACTCATATGCTTGTTATTTCATGTGTGTACATCTCACAATCATGTTTGTTTGTGAGAGTATGTCTATGTGTGAATGAGTGCATATGAATGGGTGTAAGTATGTCTTTGTGTGAATGAGTGCATATGACTGGGTGTGAGTATGTCTATGTGTGAATGAGTGCATATGACTGGGTGTGAGTATGTCTTTGTGTGAATGAGTACATATGACTGGGTGTGAGTATGTCTTTGTGTGAATGAGTGCATATGACTGGGTGTGAGTATGTCTATGTGTGAATGAGTGCATATGACTGGGTGTGAGTATGTCTTTGTGTGAATGAGTGCATATGACTGGGTGTGAGTATGTCTTTGTGTGAATGAGTGCATATGACTGGGTGTGAGTATGTCTTTGTGTGAATGAGTGCATGTGACTGGGTGAGAGTATGTCTTTGTGTGATTGAGTGCATATGTCTGGGTGAGAGTATGTCTTTGTGTGAATGAGTACATATGACTGGGTGTGAGTATGTCTTTGTGTGAATGAGTACATATGACTGGGTGTGAGTATGTCTTTGTGTGAATGAGTGCATATGACTGGGTGTGAGTATGTCTTTGTGTGAATGAGTACATATGACTGGGTGTGAGTATGTCTTTGTGTGAATGAGTGCATATGACTGGGTGTGAGTATGTCTTTGTGTGAATGAGTGCATATGACTGGGTGTGAGTATGTCTTTGTGTGAATGAGTGCATATGACTGGGTGTGAGTATGTCTTTGTGTGAATGAGTGCATATGACTGGGTGTGAGTATGTCTTTGTGTGAATGAGTGCATATGACTGGGTGTGAGTATGTCTATGTGTGATTGAGTGCATATGACTGGGTGTGAGTATGTCTTTGTGTGAATGAGTGCATATAACTGGGTGTGAGTATGTCTTTGTGTGAATGAGTGCATATGACTGGGTGTGAGTATGTCTATGTGTGATTGAGTGCATATGACTGGGTGTGAGTATGTCTTTGTGTGAATGAGTGCATATGACTGGGTGTGAGTATGTCTATGTGTGAATGAGTGCATATGACTGGGTGTGAGTATGTCTTTGTGTGAATGAGTGCATATGACTGGGTGTGAGTATGTCTTTGTGTGAATGAGTGCATATGACTGGGTGTGAGTATGTCTTTGTGTGAATGAGTGCATATGACTGGGAGTGAGTATGTCTTTGTGTGAATGAGTGCATATGTCTGGGTGTGAGTATGTCTTTGTGTGAATGAGTGCATATGTCTGGGTGTGAGTATGTCTTTGTGTGAATGAGTGCATATGACTGGGTGTGAGTATGTCTTTGTGTGAATGAGTGCATATGACTGGGTGTGAGTATGTCTATGTGTGAATGAGTGCATATGTCTGGGTGTGAGTATGTCTTTGTGTGAATGAGTGCATATGACTGGGTGTGAGTATGTCTATGTGTGAATGAGTGCATATGTCTGGGTGTGAGTATGTCTATGTGTGAATGAGTGCATATGACTGGGTGTGAGTATGTCTTTGTGTGAATGAGTGCATATGTCTGGTGTGAGTATGTCTATGTGTGAATGAGTGCATATGACTGGGTGTGAGTATGTCTATGTGTGAATGAGTGCATATGACTGGGTGTGAGTATGTCTATGTGTGAATGAGTGCATATGACTGGGTGTGAGTATGTCTATGTGTGAATGAGTGCATATGACTGGGTGTGAGTATGTCTTTGTGTGAATGAGTGCATATGTCTGGGTGTGAGTATGTCTATGTGTGAATGAGTGCATATGACTGGGTGTGAGTATGTCTATGTGTGAATGAGTGCATATGACTGGGTGTGAGTATGTCTATGTGTGAATGAGTGCATATGACTGGGTGTGAGTATGTCTTTGTGTGAATGAGTGCATATGTCTGGGTGTGAGTATGTCTTTGTGTGAATGAGTGCATATGACTGGGTGTGAGTATGTCTTTGTGTGAATGAGTGCATATGACTGGGTGTGAGTATGTCTTTGTGTGAATGAGTGCATATGACTGGGTGTGAGTATGTCTATGTGTGAATGAGTGCATATGACTGGGTGTGAGTATGTCTTTGTGTGAATGAGTGCATATGTCTGGGTGTGAGTATGTCTTTGTGTGAATGAGTGCATATGTCTGGGTGTGAGTATGTCTTTGTGTGAATGAGTGCATATGACTGGATGTGAGTATGTCTTTGTGTGAATGAGTGCATATGTCTGGGTGTGAGTATGTCTTTGTGTGAATGAGTACATATGACTGGGTGTGAGTATGTCTTTGTGTGAATGAGTGCATATGACTGGGTGTGAGTATGTCTTTGTGTGAATGAGTGCATATGTCTGGGTGTGAGTATGTCTTTGTGTGAATGAGTGCATATGACTGGGTGTGAGTATGTCTATGTGTGAATGAGTGCATATGACTGGATGTGAGTATGTCTTTGTGTGAATGAGTGCATATGACTGGGTGTGAGTATGTCTATGTGTGAATGAGTGCATATGACTGGATGTGAGTATGTCTTTGTGTGAATGAGTGCATATGTCTGGGTGTGAGTATGTCTTTGTGTGAATGAGTACATATGACTGGGTGTGAGTATGTCTTTGTGTGAATGAGTACAAGTGACTGGGTGTGTAAGACAGACAGAGAGAACAGAGAGTTTTCACTCTAAAAGTTCCACACTTGCTGTTTAGGTAATCAGAGTGCTGAAAATAGCAGGCATCTGTTTGGGCATCTTGTGGGAGGCTGGTGTAGAGACTGTTCCCCAGGACCTGGTACTAAAGTGCCAGCTCCACAAAAACTGTGGTGTAGCTATCCTGTCCTCTGACCTGATCCCAGATGCTGTCAGTTCAATGTGGCAGAGTGTACATTCCTGGAGATATTGCCACCCATTTCCACTGTGTTCAGTGTGGCAGATTGTACATTCCTGGAAATATTGCCACCCACTTCCACTGTGGAAGTGGCTATGGATGATAGTGATTTTTATATTGATAGTAATGATGATAATAATAAGGATAGTACAGTCAAGTAAAGGTCCCTTTACACACCAGTGGTGCTTTGGGCCTCTCAGGCTAGGCTCATGTTTTATAGACCTCAGTGGGTGATTTCAACATCACTCTGACTGCCTTTGTTTCTTAGGACTTTACCTAGTTTCCGCTTTAGTGCCGCTTAGTGAAAAGTTCTGTGGAAGCTCCGCGTGCCAAATACAACAATGGCGAAGGTGCTGATGGCGACTAAAAAACAAACAAATGTAGGGGATGACTTGCCTGCTTCTGTGCCTCCTCTACAGATTTCATCTCCTCGTACCTGTCCTTGGACTTCTTCAGAGGCTGGACCATAACCTCGTCGATCTTCTCGAACACCTGGAGGAAGGCAGCATAAGATATAGCCTGGCTTTTCTTTAGCTAGTAGACTCTCACAAACTGAACTCTTGTTGTTACTCCCTTGTTCACCAATCACACATTATGTCGGCTCTGTGTTGGAACTGAGGAAGGGGACGGAGTACGTGAAGGAATGTCCTTGAACGCAGTGATGTCAATTCTTGATTGATTAATTCTTTCATTCATAGACTTTACAATAGAGGCCAAGTTCTGTGATATAAACCTAAGCTCTTGCCTTAACAGTCACACTTGCCACCGCCACAGGCTGCGACTCCGCTGCCTCGCTATAGCACAATACGACAATCTTACATGTAAAGACAGAAATATAGAAACAATTTCCAGAGTATTATAAAAGTAATCAAGGACTCAGGTCCATAATCCCATAGAACAAACATGTGGATCTCAATCAATCATGTGACGGCACTCCACAGTGAAAGTTGGTTGCAATGGATCTCCAACATGCTCTGTCTCTTCTTGTATACACTCTCTCAAACTGCTGCTCGTCCATCTCTTGATATTGTCCTCCCACTTGTAACGTAACCTACCTTTTGCTCTCGACCCTGGTCCCCCTCCCAGTATGGTTTTTAAAAGCTTATTATGTCTTTCAATGTGGTCAAAATATTCAATTTTCCGTCGTTTAAAAAAATAAATATCACACAGTAATTTTTTTTTTTTTTTTTTAGTTCACAATCTTTCCAGATCTGTATATTTTTAACCATAAAATATCATCTATTTTTCTGTATGTCCGTATTTACAAAGATTCAAATCGATTTTCCATTTGCGTGTTCATTGTCCAAGTTTCTCCACCATATACAGCAGGGTTGAGTATACACAGCATTTGACAATTCGCATGTTTAATGTGTTGTTTATCTCTCTATATGTCAATAAACAAGACAACAGTAAGAATCGTCAAATGTGGATTGAACTCGGTCCCGTCTCTTGACAAGTAAGAGCACCAACCATAATGGCGCTATGGCGACTGCATGGAAGGGATAAAGAACTGTAACATATCAACATAATTATATTATAATGTTGGTAACATAGACGCAAAAGCCAAGCCTCACCAAGTGAAACAAAGATATACCTACCTTTGCCACAGTCTCAAACATGGGCAGCAGGACAAACTTGATGAAGCCTATCTGGGCTGTGGGCTTGGTTACTTTGTCCCGGTCCATGAACGGAGCCACAGGCAGGCCCTCGACTTTCTCCCTGTCACTCTGTGGGGGTGAGAAGAGGGGAACAAACAAGGGGACAATGTCCAGAAACTCTGTGTACACAAACAACTGGGACACGGAAGTTTTAATGTTTTTCTTTACAACAAGTAAAAGATTAGACACAGTATCAGTCAATAAAGTGCCTCCTTCACAATAAAGGTTGGCTGCAATGGATCTTGTTCTTCCGTGCCTTGCTGGTATCTTCCCACATGTACCTCCGTCTGCCTTTTGCTTTGTTGCCTTCAAATTTGCTCTCCAGCTAGTTTTTCTAAGAATCTTATAACTTCTAATTTGTTTTCTTCCTAAGACGGTTCTGCATGTCCAGTTTGTACCATTTGAAAATGGTTCCTTCAGGGACTCTCTTTTCTTTCCAAGACTTGTGTATTTATGGCGCAATGTGGCTGTAAGTTCTGGAAATATCTCATAGAATTAAATAACGAACAGTAACAGAGAGAAAAAGGTTTCATTGGTCGGCCCACATTTGCCAACAAGTGAACAACAATCATTGTGGTGTCATCACAGCAAATTGCCAACAAGTGAACATCAATGCTTGGGGTGTCCAAACAGCAAACTGCCGGATAGTTTATAGAGACCCATTTCGATAGTAACATTAGATTACATTAGATGTGTTCATTTTCTGAGCCTTACTGGAAAACAGACAGACTGATTGCTAGGACACAATAAATGAGAGTTCACACGAAGAACCAATGACAACACGATGATAGTATACACAAAGAGTATTTTAACACATGACACGTTGACTGATATCCATCAAGAACAAATAGTCACATGACATGCTAAATGGTACATGTTAAAAACAGCCAATCACACAAGACTTTAACTGGTGAATATTTAGAAAAACTAATCAAACGATACGCTAATTAGTACACGTGTCAAACTACCAATCTGAAGATACTTTGATATTGGTACACATTTCCAACCATTAATCTTCTTTCTTTTCTTCTTCTGCCTTTCTATCCCCCAATGGAGCATATGCCCTCAACCAACTCACGCCATGTCGTTCTATCCTTCGCCATTGCACGGAGCTCTCCCCATGTCCTCTCCATATTTCTAACTTCATTCTCCAGCTCTCTTCTCCATGTGTTTTTTGCTCTTCCTTTATTCCTATGCCCCTGTGGGTTCCAATGCAAAGACATTGTTTCATTTCCCTTGCTACTTCCATTGTTCTCCCTTTATCATAGAGAGTTCTAACATTCCAGGTGCCAATTCTAGAGGTTTTCCTAGCTGAGAGGAGGTACGTCAACGATCCGGACTCCTTACGGCTTTCTCCACACCGTGTCATACTTCTTCTATTTGAAGAGCCTCCCCTCATCTTGGTTGGCTGGGATTTACTTGCTTCTCTTTTTGACTTATCCATGGTTGGTTGCTTTTTGTGGCTATGGTTTTTACAGGATGAGGTAGGCAACCTCAAGCCCAACCCTACCCTTAGTCGCCTCTTACGACATGCCTGGTAGGGTTCAGTGTCACTATTCTTTGTTTTCCGTGACGGCCCCGGTGAGACACGGGCGCAACCATTATTCGCCTTGCACTTTAACTGTTACACTCTAGAACATCCAGTCGCAAAAAACATGATCTGGGTACACGAAGAACAGTGAATCACTGGTGGCATTTTGACTGCCCGAGAGAAGTTTTAGCCAGCGATGAAACAAGCACGGACCTAAACAGACCAACCTGGTTGAAGTATTCCTCAAGCAAACAGTCCACCCAAGGCTCGGAGACTTCCATGGGACGGACTTCGTTGGAGATATCACAACATTTGATGAGCACCATCTTCAGCTGCAGACAAAAACAAGCTCTTTTACTGCAGATTCTTAATTTATTGCACCGGTGTTGTAAAATGGTTAGCGCACTAGTCTGAAGAGACAGAGGTCTAGGTTTAGTGTCCAGCAAAATAAGTATGTGTGTGTGTGTGTGTGTGGGGGGGGGGGTTTAAAGTAAACTCTCACCTAGCACACCCACTCTTCCTATCTACCCCTATCTACCTATCAAGGCACACCTACCCCATCTATCTATCAAGGCACACCTACCTCGTCTACCTATCAAGGCACACCTACCTCGTCTACCTATCAAGGCACACCTACCTCGACTACCTATCAAGGCACACCTACCTCGTCTACCTATCAAGGCACACCTACCCCATCTATCTATCAAGGCACACCTACCTCGTCTACCTATCAAGGCACACCTACCCCATCTATCTATCAAGGCACACCTACCCCATCTACCTATCAAGGCACACCTACCTCATCTATCTATCAAGGCACACCTACCCCATCTATCTAACAAGGCACACCTACCCCATCTATCTATCAAGGCACACCTACCCCGTCTACCTATCAAGGCACACCTACCCCATCTATCTATCAAGGCACACCTACCTCGTCTACCTATCAAGGCACACCCACCTCATCTATCTATCAAGGCACACCTACCTCGTCTACCTATCAAGGCACACCTACCTCGTCTATCTATCAAGGCACACCTACCTCGACTACCTATCAAGGCACACCTACCTCGTCTACCTATCAAGGCACACCTACCTCGTCTACCTATCAAGGAACACCTACCCCATCTACCTATCAAGGCACACCTACCTCATCTATCTATCAAGGCACACCTACCCAGTCTATCTATCAAGGCACACCTACCACATCTACCTATCAAGGCACACCTACCCCGTCTACCTATCCCGCCTACCTACCCAGCTTCCCTACGCCACCGCTGTGAGTCACCTATTGTCCAGTCTCTTACTCCTGTAACTTCAATAACTGTAACATTTTAGATAATATAACTTTATTTACAACTACAAAAGTAATAAGTTTTAGTTAGTTAAGCAAAGATAGTTTAGACCGGGAACAGTGAACCATTTTAGTCGTAAACATAGAAACAATATAAATGAAGAAGAAAAATGCCTAGCAGCAGGAAGAGAATGATATACAGTAGAAGGAGACATAACAAGCGAAGATGACATAACAGTAGAAGTAAGATGAGCTGTAGACATTTAAGTACACACTGTCAACGAGAAGCAGGACATTGGCACTAAATAACACGTAGAAAACAGAGACTAACGTACCGAGTCTAAATGTTCTTTGTTCTTGTCGTCAAACCCAATGGCCAGCTTGTCTTTGAAACTCTCCATGATCTCGCCGTGTCGGGCCATGTCCGTGGCCAGAATCAGCATGGTCATCCCCTAGAAGTGGACAGTCTCGTGTCAGCAGCATTGTCTTTTAGCCGTTGAATCCAACTGGTTAATGCAGACACGTTAATTCACAAATGACTTCCGGCCAAATTTGCCAACTCACTGACCACTTTAACAGTTTTTTCTTCTTTTTTCTTTCAGCCTGGTTAGCTGACGCAAATTCCACATTTATGGACCAGGAGAACAAAGGTTCTATCACCCTGCTACTGAGTTAAGGGCTCAGTGCGACACTGTGAGCTGTGGATTTTGTAACGTTTAGAAGGGCGTGTACGTTTGCGGGTGCAATGCCGGCTTTCATGATTGACCTTTTGCACCAACAGCGGGCTGCAATTCTAGTGTGGGGACATCTGACAGCTACCTTATACATGTTTACTTTGCGTGTGCACGCTTCAAGATTGTTCTGTGGCTGTCAACTTTTTGACTAGTTTTCCATGGGACAGTTAAGGACATATCTTTATAACCTTGACTAATGAGTGACCTTAATTCTTGTTAGGCCTTGCACAAGTTCAGCGACCCTGTGCTCAAACACAAATGCTGTGATGTAGAGGTTAATAAACGGGCTTCATAAATCTCCACCCAGTAGGGTTCCATTTTCTAGGCCAGCAGTTTAGAAAAAAAAAAAAAAAAGATCGTGATCGGGACTCTCCGACAGCGTTACCCGGTCTCCACCACGATAAGACAGAAGCCTCGCTGTGTGATATTCGAAAAGACAGCACTGGATGCAGACATCAGCTGTACAAACATTTCAGTTCTAGAGAAGGTGGGAAACATTGTAATCTGGCTGAGAAATTAGACACAGACGATCAAGAATTCAAGTGATCATAGTGAACTCAAGTGAAATCAAGTGAATTCAAGTGATCATAATGTATAAACTTGATAATTCATTAAAACTGTAAAATTTGAAAGAATAAGAAGCAAAAGGAAGACAAAGCGATTAATAGCAGGACGATGGTGAGGTTATGAAGATACAAAGATCCCGGATTGTAATATTCGCATGAATGTTCCCTGTCTATGTTTATGATGATAGTTAGGATGAGGATGGCTTAGAGTAGTATTTGACTGGTAGTCTGGTAGTCTTAGTTTCAGCTTCATAGCAAACGGGTCAACCCATCTTTGCTCCGCTCCTGTGCCAACGAAAAACACACAGAATGTTTATCACAGTCCCTTGTGGAAATATTGACAGACTGCTTTCTCAGCATATCTAGCATACACTCGCATTAAAGCATACGGTAGCCATCCGAAGTGCTAACACAAACAGTCCAACATTAGAAATGCAGTTCATCATTGATGATAGCAGAACTTGTCGCCAACAGATCTGCAGTTGTCCACGCGATCAATTTTAATGACATACGGGCACCGCCAACATTGCATGACAGGCATTGCGCCATTTTCTGAATCTACAATTCACACCATCATGTTGGTCACAGTAAAAAAAAAACCATTCCAAATGTAATCCGCAGCTCACAGTGTCATGCCATGCATTCAACTCAGACGCTGGGCGACGAAACTATATCCAATCTACAAATGGAGCAAAAATGCATCGGCCACCATCCGGCAGAAGCAAAAAATTTGCCTTTGCTTCGAACAGTGCCTCTTCCTAGCGTCCATTTAAACCGGAAATGAGAGTAGTATTTGAGATGATGATGATGACATAGAATATAATGATGGGTTACAGTGGATGTGCTGTAGTTGAGATGACAGTGGCTATTCAAGTTGAGATGATGTCTCTAAAGAAAGTAACTTAAAAAATTAAATATCTAAAACAAATGACACATTTTGAGCGCGCCTGCGACGGGGGAACAACTAGAGGCTGTAGTCATACAGCGAAAAATGAACGAAAAAAGAAGATTTTTAAGTTTCATTATCTGTTAGCTGGTTTTTTACAGAACGTGACTCTCATCAGGGGCACACCTAAACGTGGCTCTCAACACAGTACGCCTAAACGTGGTTCACATCACAACACTCTAAACATGGCTCTCATCACAGCACGCCCAAACGTGGTTCACATCACAACACACCTAAACGCGGCTCTCAACATAGCACGCCTAAACGTGGTTCAAATCACAACACACCTAAACGTGGCTCTCAACACAGCACACCTAAACGTGGTTCACATCACAACACATCTAAACGTGGTTCTCATCACGGCACGCCTGAACGTGGCTCTCATCACGACACACTTGAACGTTGCTCTCATCACGGCACGCCTGGACGTGGCTCTCATCACAGCACAACCAAACGTGGCTCTCATCACAACACACCTAAACGTGGCTCTCATCACGACACACCTAAACGTGGCTCTCATCACGACATACCTTAACGTGGCTCTCATCACGGCACGCCTGAACGTGGCTCTCATCACAGCACAACTAAACGTGGCTCTCATCACAGCAACCGAAACGTGGCTCTCAACACAGCACACCTAGACGTGGCTCTCATCACGACTCCTATGAACGGGGCTCTCATCACGACACACCTTAACGTGGCTCTCAACACAGCACACATAAACGTGGCTCTCATCATGACACACATAATCGTGGTTCTCATCACGACACGCATGAACGTGCCTATCATCACGACACACATGAACGTGGCTCTCATCACGACAACGCTAAACGTGGCTCTCATCACGACACACCTAAACGTGGCTCTGATCACGACACACCTAAACGTGGCTCTCAACACAGCACGCCTAAACGTCTGTCTGTCTCCAGCCAATTCTCCAGCCCTATGTGCTTTCACAACTAAAAGCATCTTCAGTGTCTGGTATTCACAACTGCCGAGGTCTGCATCCCCAGCGTTGACTAGAAACCCTACCACCCCCCCCCCACCCACCCCCCAGCCCCACTTCCATCACCGACTTTCCTAGGTCACCGTGATCTTTAACATCGTTAGAGGAGGACATGGAAGAGTAAAATGTCCCTCCCACCCCCACCCACCTAAAATTGTTGAAGAGATGCTCAAGTGGGATCTGATCCCGCGGCTTCCAGCTATTGACTATAACTTTGGCAGTACATGAGACAGGAGGATGTGGAGAGACATGCCGACAAACGCTACATGCCATGAACTGTCAAGCGAAGAGAAACCATACACCATACCGCTCGGATCCTCTTGAACGTCTCTTTGTCGACATTAGCGAAGATATTCGTGTCCGGGTTGGACAAGATCTGGAAGGCAACAGCACAGTGATGGTTCTCTAGCGGTGAGATGTCGTTGTACCTGATAGCCAGTTCCGTCCGGGCATTGATCTGGTATCTGCGGATGGAGAATGTACCTTCTGAATTCTCTTACTTAGATCATGGCAATTGGTAATGCAGATTAATTGGTATCTGGGTCAAAAGATAAATAAATAATTTTGTTGCTTTCCCTAGTCTTGCCAGCCTTTGAGGTTCATTTCTGCGAACTTCAGCCGCCTAATTCATCTATGTGATTGGTCTTCTCTATCCAGTCGGTGACCAATCGTCTGTAGGTCTGCCTGTACATAATCTTTCCACAAATTTCTTGGTCTGTCTCTTGTTCTTCTCCCAGTCAACTCTGTATGTACGCGGTTTTTGTGTCTCTGCAATCTACAATTTCTCTAAATACCCCATCATCGTCAAAGAAGTGACAATCTAATTAAACTATCCTGTCATACCTTTGTGGAATGCATTTGTTCGTTATTTGAAGCCGTACTCTGGCTCTTGCCAGGGGCCGCAATATAGCCCAGCCATAAATATGGTCTAAAGGCTGAACGCGGATTCTGGGACCTCCCCACGGGTGATCCTCATCCACATGGTGGCACTTTGTGTCATCGGGTGTTTATCACTTGTGTGATGTCCTGGTGGGGTAAAAGAAGATAGATAGAGACAATCTAATGCTAAAATAAAACATGTATCTGTGGTTAAAAGGGTTGCAGTAAAAATTGTAGGTTCAACTCGTTCAGACGCCGAAAGTTCTTGCTTCAACGCTGATCTATGTTCATGTCTGTTAGAACAAGGCGTTGAAATAATATAACTACGAGACATGAGTTCATGCACCAACTTGTATAGAATGGGTGAAGGAATAAAAGACAGGAACAGAAAAAGTTCAGAAATGTAGAAAATGGATAGAAAAACAGATAAGAGTATAATTTCTTGAAAAAGTTATTTAACCAGACGACAAGTAGAATCAGCATTGCCTCATTACAAGCACAGACCACAGGTAGAATCAACATCACATCATTACAAGCACAGACCACAAGTAGAATCAGCATCGCATCATTACAAACACAGACCACAAGTAGAATCAACATCGCATCATTACAAACACAGACGACAAGTAGAATCAACATCGCATCATTACAAACACAGACCACAAGTAGAATCAACATCGCATCATTACAAACACAGACGACAGGTAGAATCAACATAGCATCATTACAAACACAGACCACAAGTAGAATCAGCATTGCCTTATTACAAACACAGACCACAAGTAGAATCAGCATCGCATCATTTCAAGCACAGACCACAAGTAGAATCAACATCGCATCATTACAAACACAGATGACAAGTAGAATCAACATCGCATCATTACAAACACAGACCACAAGTAGAATCAGCATCGCATCATTACAAGCACAGACAAGTAGAATCAACATCGCATCATTACAAACACAGACAAGTAAAATCAACATCGCATCATTACAAACACAGATGACAGGTAGAATCAACATCGCATCATTACAAGCACAGACAAGTAGAATCAACATCGCATCATTACAAGCACAGACAAGTAGAATCAACATCGCATCATTACAAGCACAGACAAGTAGAATTAACATCGCATCATTACAAGCACAGACAAGTAGAATCAACATCGCATCATTACAAACACAGATGACAGGTAGAATCAACATCGCATCATTACAAACACAGACCACAAGTAGAATCAATATCACATCATTACAAACACAGACCACAAGTAGAATCAGCATCGCATCATTACAAGCACAGACAAGTAGAATCAACATCGCATCATTACAAACACAGACAAGTAGAATCAACATAGCATCATTACAAACACAAATGACAGGTAGAATCAACATCGCATCATTACAAACACAGACCACAAGTAGAATCAACATCGCATCATTACAAACACAGACAAGTAGAATCAACATCGCATCATTACAAACACAGACAAGTAGAATCAACATCGCATCATTACAAATACAGACGACAAGTAGAATCAACATCGCATCATTACAAACACAGACCACAAGTAGAATCAGGATCGCATCATTACAAACACAGACCACAAGTAGAATCAGCATCGCATCATTACAAGCACAGACAAGTAGAATCAACATCGCATCATTACAAACACAGACAAGTAAAATCAACATCGCATCATTACAAACACAGATGACAGGTAGAATCAACATCGCATCATTACAAGCACAGACAAGTAGAATCAACATCGCATCATTACAAGCACAGACAAGTAGAATCAACATCGCATCATTACAAGCACAGACAAGTAGAATTAACATCGCATCATTACAAGCACAGACAAGTAGAATCAACATCGCATCATTACAAACACAGATGACAGGTAGAATCAACATCGCATCATTACAAACACAGACCACAAGTAGAATCAATATCACATCATTACAAACACAGACCACAAGTAGAATCAGCATCGCATCATTACAAGCACAGACAAGTAGAATCAACATCGCATCATTACAAACACAGACAAGTAGAATCAACATAGCATCATTACAAACACAAATGACAGGTAGAATCAACATCGCATCATTACAAACACAGACCACAAGTAGAATCAACATCGCATCATTACAAACACAGACAAGTAGAATCAACATCGCATCATTACAAACACAGACAAGTAGAATCAACATCGCATCATTACAAATACAGACGACAAGTAGAATCAACATCGCATCATTACAAACACAGACCACAAGTAGAATCAGGATCGCATCATTACAAACACAGACCACAAGTACAATCAGCATCGCATCATTACAAACACAGACAAGTAGAATCAACATCACATCATTACAAAAACAGACAAGTAGAATCAACATCACATCATTACAAACACAGACAAGTAGAATCAACATCGCATCATTACAAACACAGACAAGTAGAATCAACATCGCATCATTACAAACACAGACGACGAGTAGAATAAACATCGCAGCTTTACAAACACAGACCACAAGTAGAATCAACATCGCATCGTTACAAACACAGACAAGTAGAATCAACATCACCTCATTACAAACACAGACAAATAGAATCAACATCACATCATTACAAACACAGACAAGTAGAATCAACATCGCATCATTACAAACACAGACGACAAGTAGAATAAACATCGCAGCATTAAAAACACAGACGACAAGTAGAATCAACATCGCATCATTACAAACACAGACCACAAGTAGAATCAGGATCGCATCATTACAAACATAGACAAGTAGAATCAACATCACATCATTACAAACACAGACGAGAAGTAGAATCAATATCACATCATTACAAACACAGACAAGTAGAATCAACAAAGCATCATTACAAGCACAGACGACAAGTAGAATCAGCATCGCATCATTACAAACACAGGCGACAAGTAGAATCAACATCACATCATTACAAACACAGACGACAAGTAGAATCAACATCACATCGTTGCAAATACAGACGACAAGTAGAATCAACATCACATCATTACAAACACAGACAAGTAGAATCAACATCGCATCATTACAATCACAGATCAAAAGTAGAATCAGCATCGCATCATTACAAACACAGGCGACAAGTCGAATCAATATCGCATCATTACAAACACAGACGACAAGTAGAATCAACATCGCATCATTACAAACAAAAACGACAAGAAAGTATCACTAAAGATCCATTACCATAAAATTACATGACTATAGAATAAAATAAAAACAAACGAGAAATACACACAGTCACTTAACCGAGATATCTCAGAGAGGAATCACATCTGTATGGAAAGCTGAATCTCAGACACGTGTGTGACTACCGGAAATAAATACCAACCACAAAAAGCTGTGAATGGCAAGGGCCTCAACTAAACATATTATGTAAAACTGTGTTGACTGTTAAGTCTCCTGGGCAATTTGGGTCCCATTAGATAGATAGGTCGGTTCTCTCAGTGGGTTCTTGGCATTGACAGAGGTAGCAATCATTATTTACGGTTAACCTAGTAACTAAACAGAGTTAGGTCATAATTTTTTACGGTTAACCTAGTAACTAAACAGAGTTAGGTCATAATTATTTACGGTTAACCTAGTAACTAAACAGAGTTAGGTCATAATTACTTACGGTTAACCTAGTAACTAAACAGAGTTAGGTCATAATTATTTACGGTTAACCTAGTAACTAAACAGAGTTAGGTCATAATTATTTACGGTTAACCTAGTAACTAAACAGAGTTAGGTCATAATTATTTACGGTTAACCTAGTAACTAAACAGAGTTAGGTCATAATTATTTACGGTTAACCTAGTAACTAAACAGAGTTACGTCATAATTATTTACGGTTAACCTAGTAACTAAACAGAGTTACGTCATATTTATTTACGGTTAACCTAGTAACTAAACAGAGTTAGGTCATAATTATTTACCGTTAACCTAGTAACTAAACAGAGTTAGGTCATAATTATTTACGGTTAACCTAGTAACTAAACAGAGTTAGGTCATAATTATTTACGGTTAACCTAGTAACTAAACAGAGTTAGGTCATAATTATTTACGGTTAACCTAGTAACTAAACAGAGTTAAGTCATAATTATTTACGGTTAACCTAGTAACTAAACAGAGTTAGGTCATAATTATTTACGGTTAACCTAGTAACTAAACAGAGTTACGTCATAATTATTTTACAGTTAACCTAGTAACTAAACAGAGCTACGTCATAATTATTTACGGTTAACCTAGTAACTAAACAGAGTTACGTCATAATTATTTTACGGTTAACCTAGTAACTAAACAGAGTTACGTCATAATTATTTACGGTTAACCTAGTAACTAGACAGGGTTAGGTCATAATTATTTACGCTTAACCTAGTAACTAAACAGAGTTACGTCATAATTATTTTACGGTTAACCTAGTAACTAAACAGAGTTAGGTCATAATTATTTACGGTTAACCTAGTAACTAAACAGAGTTAGGTCATAATTATTTATGGTTAACCTAGTAACTAGACAGGGTTAGGTCATAATTATTTACCGTTAACCTAGTAACTAAACAGAGTTACGTCATAATTATTTACGGGTAACCTAGTAACTAAACAGAGTTACGTCATAATTATTTACGGTAAACTTAGTAACAATGCAGCAAGATCAAATACCATCACAAGCACTACATCTCAGAAGACCAACTACAAGAGCAAGAGGAAAACATGGATCGACAACATTAAAGACACTCTACCCCTTCACGGCATGACAATAGCCAGTGGCAGCCAACGTGCACTGGAACGCAAATTATTCCTCCCCACGACGCTTAACGGCAGAAGTGGTTTATGATGATGATGATGAAACTTAGTAACTAAACAGAGTTACGTCATAATTATTTACTGTTAACCTAGTAAATACACAGAGTTACGGATTTGAATATCATAAATAAAACTAACAAAGAACAACAGCAATGAGAGCAACATCTACCTACGTGTTGTTGTATCCAGGGTGATCGAGGTCGTGGCAGACCGCCGCGGTGAGCAGGATGCCAAGGTCCTCTGTCCCCATCCTCTCCCAGAGCCTGCATAAGTGGATCATGCCATACATCATCTGGGTCACGCAGAAACAGTGTCGGAAGTTGTGGAAGGGGTTGTTGCGGTAGTTCTCCTGCACGCACAGCTGCGGGTCAACGTTCAGTAACAAGTGGGTCAATCAGCAACAAGTGGGTCAGTCACCAACAGGTGGGTCAGTCAGCAACAGGTGGGTCAATCAGCAACAGGTGGGTCAGTCAGCAACAGGTGGGTCAATCAGCAACAACAGGGTCAACTAACAATGAGTGGATCAATAATGACAAGTGGGCCACCATCATAAGGTTTGCAACCAACGAGTAGGCCAGCCATCAATACGTTGGTCAACCAGAATCATATAAATCAACAAACAAGTGGGTCAACCAAAAACATATGAGTCAACAAACAATTAGGTAATCAGTAAGTGGGTCAATCAACAACAAATGTGTCAACAAATAAAAAGTTCGCTCAGAAAACATTTCAATGAAGAAGATGTGTGGGCTCAGCGTATTTTTTCTGAGAATGGTCGGAATGTTTTTGAGCATACAGAATCGACATCATGGTCAAAGATATAGCTCGACCTCATTCTATAGAATATCTAGCCGCTTACTACAAGGAGAGACAAGGCACGAACTGTAGCTCCAGCAGTGATCACGGAAATATCCATAAAAACTGTACTCTCAAACCTATTGACGCAGTCAGTGAAACAAGCCATAAGCCTTCGGAGCGCGAGGCAAGCAGTGCAGCTAGACAGACATGAAGACTCCCTCACTGAGAAATGTGAGAAAACAGTTTACTGGGGTAGGTCTCTGACGTCATAAAACTGTTAATCCAGTGACCAGGTGTGACCAATTCGTATGTGTAAGAGCTAGGTGGTACCGATTACACTGGAGATGGTATCACGTGATATTTCCGTCCCTCTTCGTTGCTTCGCCTTTGAGAATATGGTACAGCTAGCATTGTAGTACTAGGTGACTGGTAGCTTCACAATATATTTTCTACAAGAGTCGCGTAAGCATGCAGAAAGCGTGCTTCTTCCTCTAGCTTTGTTGGAGATGTAAAAAGCGTGCCATATTTGTAATAAATAACAACATTATTTAAAAAAACATGGAAAGTGTAAGTAATGATTACAAGCATGGGCAGCGAGTTTATCCGGACAGATGGAAACAGTTTATCGGAACTGATAGAAAGAGTTTATCAGGACAGATTAAAACAGTTTATCAGGACAGATGGAAACATTTTATCAGGACAGATGGAAACAGTTTATCAGGACAGATGGAAACAGTTTATCAGGACAGATGGAAACAGTTTATCAGGACAGATGGAAACAGTTTATCAGGACAGATGGAAACAGTTTATCAGGACAGATGGAAACAGTTTATCAGGACTGATGGAAACATGTTATCATGACTGATGGAAACAGTTTATCAGGACAGATAGAAACAGTTTATCGGAACTGATAGAAAGAGTTTATCAGGACAGATGGAAACAGTTTATAAGGAGAGATGGAGACAGTTTATTAGGACAGATGGAAACAGTTTATCAGGACTGATGGAAACAGTTTATCAGGACTGATGGAAACAGTTTATCAGGACAGATGGAAACAGTTTATCAGGACAGATGGAAACAGTTTATCAGGACAGATGGAAACAGTTTATAAGAAGAGATGGAGACAGTTTATCAGGACAGATGGAAACATTTTATCGGGACTGATGGAAACAGTTTATCAGGACAGATGGAAACATTTTCTAAGGACAGATGGAAAGGGTTTATCGGGACAGATGGAAACATTTTCTAAGGACAGATGGAAACGGTTTATCGGGGCTGATGGAAACAGTTTATCAGGACAGATGGAAACAGTTTACCAGGACAGATGGAAACAGTTTATAAGGACAAATGGAAACAGTTTATCGGGACTGATGGAAACAGTTTATCGGGACTGATGGAAACAGTTTATCAGGACAGATGTAAACAGTTTACTTCCCGGGACTGCACCCGGTACCCACTCAAGGCTGGGTCAGCCTGGTTGTCAAGGTCCTTTCTGAACAAAGTCCGGCTCCTCCAGGGAGCGAACGAACGACCTTCCTGTCCGTACGCGAGCCTCAAGTTGTAGACATACACACACATACACACACACACAAAGCCACACATATGAAATCTGACAATGACCACAGGAAAGCAATGTCAGCTGCCTAAAATCCACCATGAAACCGTTTTTATGTTTGTCTGCTCCTACAGAAGGCAGACAGATCATCTCAGAGAATAATCACATCTAAAAGCTATTCAAGGGTAATTTCCCGCCAACTTTGTAAGAGAATCCGTTCACAAATGTATGAGATGTCATTGTTTGCAACGTCTCCAGCCGACCTGGCCTTTAGCGGCAGACACCACCAGTCTCAACTTGAATCTGTTTTGCCGTTTGCCCGCCAATTTTCTGTTTCCTGTCATTTGGTTGTCATTTCTCCTGCAGACGATCTTCTGCCAGAGTTTCCTGTTTGTTGTTACATCACAAAGTTTGTCCCTGGCATTTCAGTTTTTTTTTTTGTTTACTGTTCTTGAAATTGTTTTCAGTTTTTAAACAGGAAACATGTTTTGTGCTGTTTTCAACCAAAATTGCGCGGTTATAGATGGGGGTTGGGGGGGGGGGGGATATTTGGAGCCGGGACTTTTGTTTGCTATTAAAGAGTGAATGTCTGGTCTCTAGCTGTTTCAGCGTGGAAGAATATAGACAGATAAATAGACAAACACACTTCTAGATGGAAGAACACTCTGAGACAGACAAAGAAACATACAAATAGATTTATATAAATAGGAAAACTTACACATAGATAGACAGACATATGGAAAACATACCCGATACAGACAGAAAGACGAATGTATGAAAGAATAGATGTGTTTATTTAGAGAGAGACAGACCGGCAGCCAGACAGATAGAAGGATGGATAGATACGTACGTAGACGGATTGATGGATAGACGGAAAGACACAGATACACACATACGAGAATATAGTCACAATGATGGTGTAAAAGTAAAAAAAAAAACACAAAGACAAACGTATAGACAGACAAACAACAGACAGACAAATATACAGAGAGACAGACAGAGACCCCCTACCAGCCAACGTTTGAGAACTATGGGGTTGATGTTGAACTCCTTAACCAGACCCAGCTCATGGTACATGTGCTCCAACAGACTCAGCATCTGAAACATTGGACACTTTCACAGTTAGTCCTAGTCCTTTTGAGAAAAAAAAAAAAAAGAAAAGCTCGACCACGTTCAGACTGAACTTTCACAGTTAAACAGTCACTCTTCTTATACTACAACTACTGCTGCTGCTACTGCTGCTGCTGCTACTACTACTGCTACTACTACTACTACTACTACTACTGCTGCTGCTACTACTGCTGCTACTGCTTCTACTACTACTACTACTACTACTACTACTACTACTAGTACTACTACTACTACTACTAGTACTACTACTAATAGTACTACTAATACTACTACTAGTACTACAACAACTACTACTACTACTACTACTACTACTACTACTACTAGTAGTAGTACTACTACTACTACTACTACTACTACTACTACTACTACTACTACTACTACTACTACTACTACTACTACTACTACTACTACTACTACTACTACTACTACTACTACTACTACTACTACTACTACTAATAGTACTACTACTACTACTACTACTACTACTACTACTACTACTACTACTACTACTACTAATAATAATAGTACTACTACTACTACTACTACTACTACTACTACTACTATTACTAATAGTACTACTACTACTACTACTACTACTACTACTACTAGTACTACTACTACTACTACTACTACTACTACTACTACTACTACTACTACTACTACTACTACTACTACTACTACTACTACTACTACTACTAGTACTAGTACTACTACTACTACTACTACTACTACTACTACTACTACTACTACTACTACTACTACTACTACTACTACTACTACTACTACTACTACTACTACTAATAGTACTACTACTACTACTACTACTACTACTACTACTACTACTACTACTACTACTACTACTACTAGTACTACTACTACTAATAGTACTACTAATACTACTACTAGTACTACAACTACTACTACTACTACTACTACTACTACTACTACTACTACTACTGCTGCTGCTACTACTAATAGTACTACTACTGCTGCTGCTATCATCACCACCACTGCTACCACCATCACCATTACAACCGGCTGCACACTTTATTCTGTTACAGTCACAACTACAGCTACTGCAACGATTACAAATTATGTTATTGCTACTTCTAATACACTAGCCTATGAATCCAACGGTCGTTTTTCGAATTTGCATGGCAAATGATTTCTTTCAAACATGACCTTAGGCTCCTAGGTCGATCCAGCTTTAATGGGTACTAGGTAAAGACCTGGGAAGTAAAGGCGGGCAGCGATATGTTGACCACATCACCCATCAAGGGCCGTTTGATCTAAATCAAAGTCTAGCCTGATACTTCCGAAGCGCCACCGGCGTGTACAGGGATCTTGACTACTTGCCTGTTTTCCTTAGCTGCCTATTCTTTACGGGACACTGGAGAAGCAACCCTAGCATTGTTTTGGCTGTTGTGGCTTTTTTTTTATAGGCACATTTTACGATCAGTAGTTTGCCACTGCTACTGACCGGTCAGCTCTTGGTACCTCTGTCGAAACCAAAATAAGACGTTCTGCAGACTACTAGTATAACAACAATAAAAAAATTATAAAAAAAAAAAAACAACAACTAGTGTAAACAGGCAAGCAAACACTAACATTGGCGGAGGAAGAAACAGCTGCATGATGTGATGACTAAGCACAGACACAGTCAGACAGACAGGGTCAGACACAGTCAGACAGACAGGGTCAGACACAAGCAGACAGACAGTGTCAGACCCAGTAAGACAGAGAGTTTTTGACAGACACAGCCAGTGTCTGAAAGACACAGCCAGACAGTGTCAGACACAGCCAGACAGACAGTGTCAGGCACAGCTAGATGGACAGTGTGAGACATTCAGACAGACAATTTCGGACACAACCAGACAGACAGTGTCTGACAAACAAACCAGACAGACGGTGCCAGACAGACTCAGCGAGTCAGACAGTGTCAGACAGATTAGCCAGACAGTGCGAGACAGACACAGCCAGACAAAGTCAGATGGACAGTAACAGGCAGACACATCCAGACAGACAGTATCGGATATCCAGACAGACAGTGTCAAACACATCCAGACAGACAGTGTCACACACAACTAGACAGACAGTGTCAGACACAACTAGGCAGACAGTGTCAGACACAACTAGTCAGACAGTGTCAGACACAACTAGTCAGACAGTGTCAGACACAACTAGACAGACAGTGTCAGACAGACACAGACAGACACAGATAGATAGTGTCAGAATTAGCCAGATAGATACTGTCAGACACAGCCAGACTAACAGTGTCAGACAGACACAGACAAACGGTACCGGACACAAATTTATCATAATATACCTCGTTAGGCTCCCAGTGCCAAATGTCAAAGGTTGGCTGCTTCAAGTAGTCAACTGTTTCTTGAGACAGTGTGTACTAGAGGGACAGTATATGTACAAGGTTAGTGTGTACAAGAGGGACAATAAGTGCACAGTGTTAACGTGTACTATAGGGACAATTTATGTACTTGTTAGCGTGTGCGAGGGACAATATGTGTACGATGTTATGTATACCAGACGGGCAATATGTGTACATTGTTAGTGTTTACTAGAGGGACAGTATGTGTACAAGATTAGTGTACTTGAAGGACATATGTGTACATATTGACGTCGCACGGCCTCAGTCAGACTTAATTAGTGGATCTGTTAAACGTTGAGCATTGACAGCGAAAACTTTGTCTTACAGAGGATTTATTCAACAACGAACCAGTTAGTCAACTTGTCAGTCAGCCAGTCAACTAGCAGTCACTCAGTCAACCTACTCATCAGTCAATCAGTCAGTCCACTAGCAGTCAATCAATGAACTAACTAGTCAGTCAGTCAGTCAAATAGCAGTCAGTCAATCAACCAACTAATCACAGTCAGTCAGTCAGTCAGTCAAATCGCAGTCAATCAAATAACCAACTAGTCAACGAGTCAGGCAGCCAGTCAGATCCCAAAAAAATCTGTCGAATAGTCAGTCAGTCAGTCAATTAGCTAGTCAACTAGTCAGTAACCAGCTAGTCGGTCATTCAATAGGTCAACTAGTCAGTCAAATAGTCAGTCAGTCAGTGGACTAGTATATCAGTCAACTAGTTAGTCAATCAGTTATTCAGCTACTCAGTCAGTAAATTAGCCAGTCAACCAAGAAGTCAATCAGTTAACTAGTCAGCTTTTCAGTCAGTCAGTCAACTAGTCAGTCAACGAGTCAGTCAGTCAGTCAATCAGCTTATTGGTCAGTTAAACAGTCAGTCAGCCAATTAACAAGTCAGCCAACTATTCAATTATTTAACTAGTCAGTCAGTTAACTAGTAAGTCAGCCAACAAATCAATCAGTCAACTACTCAGTCAGTCTCAACTAGTCAATCAACCGACTAGTCAGTCAGTCAACTAGTCAGTCAGTCAGCTAGGCATTCTGTCAACTAGTCAGTTAGTCAACTAGGCAATAATCAACTAGTTAGTAAGCTAGGCAATCTATCAACTAGTCAGTCAAGCAACTAGAAAGCAAACTAGGGATCAAATCCACCAACAACTGACCTACCAACTATCCATGAAATAACCCCCCCCCCCCCCCCAACCACCACCACAATCGTCCAATCAAAAAAGCTAACAACCAACCAGCGTTATAGGATAACCGTCATATCTTATGCACAAAGCACGGTGATGATAAACAAACGGTCTAAACAATATGGACTGAATGCAAACATTACCTTGGGGTAATTGGGCACATCCCGTCGATGATTGGCTTTGGTCTCGTCAGTTATGGGAGTGCTGTGTGTGGTACAAAAGAATGATTAATTTGATTTCCCATACAGACACAGTGAGACGTATTTTCTGCACGGTTTGTGGCTAGAACTATGGTATACCGTTTGACTTAGAAAAAGGGGGAAAAGGGGCTGGGGGTAAAAGAGAACTGATTTGAAGACGTAGCAGAAGCCTATTGATCAGCTGTGTGAATCCCTCAGAATAAGCTAGTTATATTTTTTATTTATCTGTGCTTTTATGTCGATCCAGCCTAAATCTAGAAGCAGGAAGTTGTCTGGAAAGTAAAGGTGACACAGAGCACATTTTTAAACACAGTGTTATGAAATCTATCATCAGCGATTCCTCTTCTTAACTTCTTAACTAGCCTGTTCTGCTTTTGAGCGTCAGGTTTTGGAGAGGCGTTGGATGTCAGCCTTGGTATGTGCTACATAGATGCTGGCATTTACTTCCCTGGGTATTCCATCTATCCATAACTTGTGTGGTCGACCTCTAGTTCTGCTTTCATTATGTCTACCTGACAGTTCTCTCTGGGGTTGCACTTTCTAGTCGTAGTGTTCATACATGTCCAAACCATTTCCTCTGTTGTGTCTTGATTCAAGTTGTCCTAACTTCTCTTCTACTGTCGACAGTTATAATCATGTCTCTTTTAGTTACATCTAGGAGCATTCGTCGTATATAATTCACTTCTGTTATTTATGTTACTAACTGTAACAAATTATGGATCACTTTTCTTAAAGCAAGCTGGTATAACTGGTCATACTCCCCATCACCGGCAACTGTAATTTCTCTATCTTCCCCGCTTGTCGACCTGAAGAGCTTGGACTCGAATCCTCAATGAGTCGGATAATTTTCTTCCAAACTGACCTTAGCTCTAATGTCTATCCAGGCTACAACTGCTACCAGGCAGAGTCCTGGGAAGTAAAGGCGGCCGGCAGCGAGGCGTCACTCAGAGTGTACCGATTGGTTTACAAACATCTGATTGGCATCATGCGCCAGATGCGTCACAGGTATGACAAGAGCTCTTAACTACTTTACCTTGTAATCCAGAAAAATGACGAGTAAAACATCAATTGTATGTCAGCTCAACAAAACCACCGACAATAAACATAAAAATGGAGTGACTGCAGTAACTATATACAAGTCTAAAAAACATCTTGAAATAATTGTAGAAAAGAAGGAAGAGAAAAGACATACGGTAGGAAAACACGATGATTATGTCAGTTCGCAACCACATACAATAGGAAAATTTCACCGCACGGTCTGGAAAGAAATGAAGACGACGACAAAACAAGGGCCGATTGGTCGGCACAAATATGAACTGAGAATGAACATCTGGCACAGCGGTTTTCAACCTGTAAGTCGCGACCTTTTTTTCCCCCCACAGGGGTCGCGAAAGATCATCGGAAAACACACATTCACTGAAGTTATGAAGTAGCAACGAAAATATTGATATTGTTGGAAGTCGTCACAACATGGGGAACTGTATTCAAGTGTCGTCACAACATGGGGAACTGTATTCAAGTGTCGTCACAACATGGGGAACTGTATTCAAGTGTCGTCACAACATGGGGAACTGTATTCAAGTGTCGTCACAACATGGGGAACTGTATTCAAGTGTCGTCACAACATGGGGAACTGTATTCAAGTGTCGTCACAACATGGGGAACTGTATTCAAGTGTCGTCACAACATAGGGAACTGTATTCAAGTGTCGTCACAACATGGGGAACTGTATTCAAGTGTCGTCACAACATGGGGAACTGTATTCAAGTGTCGTCACAACATAGGGAACTGTATTCAAGTGTCATCACAACATGGGGAACTGTATTCAAGTGTCATCACAACATGGGGAACTGTATTCAAGTGCCGTCACAACATGGGGAACTGTATTCAAGTGCCGTCACAACATGGGGAACTGTATTCAAGTGTCATCACAACATGGGGAACTGTATTCAAGTGCCGTCACAACATGGGGAACTGTATTCAAGTGTCATCACAACATGGGGAACTGTATTCAAGTGTCGTCACAACATGGGGAACTGTATTCAAGTGTCATCACAACATGGGGAACTGTATTCAAGTGTCATCACAACATGGGGAACTGTATTCAAGTGTCGTCACAACATGGGGAACTGTATTCAAGTGTCGTCACAACATGGGGAACTGTTCTCAAGTGTCGTCACAACATGGGGAACTGTTCTCAAGTGTCGTCACAACATGGGGAACTGTATTCAAGTGTCGTCACAACATGGGGAACTGTTCTCAAGTGTCGTCACAACATGGGGAACTGTATTCAAGTGTCACCGCATCAGGAAGGTTGAGCACCGCAACAAGTCACAACCAAAGGAAGCTCTTCTTTCAGACATGTTGGTCTTTCTTTCATTAAACACCGTTAGGTCGGTCAGCCTACTGCGAAGCCTGTCATCTGGTGTGTGTGTTCGATTCTCGTCAAATTGTAAATAAATCCATGCATGGATTGTACGTAGCGACGAACTAGGCAACCAATCGAGTGCCGTCTCCACAACTAAAGTCGTCAGCGATGGATTGCCAGCACTGTCTCTAGGCCTGGTTACACTGTCTATCTCACTTCCGTACTGGGCGAGCAAGTGTATATTCTTCTGTCTGGAAAAAACGGGGTGGGGGGGGGGGGGTGGGGGGGGGGGGTCTTCTGGGAATCATTCACACTGTGTGGACTAATGGTACTACTTCTACAACTCCTACTACTGCTGAAGCTGCTACTGCTGCTACTCCTACTACTGCTGAAGCTGCTACTGCTGTTACTCCTACTACTGCTGAAGCTGCTGCTGCTAGTGCTGCTACTCCTACTACTGCTGGAGCTGCTGCTGCTAGTGCTGCTACTCCTACTACTGCTGGAGCTGCTGCTGCTAGTGCTGCTACTCCTACTACTGCTGGAGCTGCTGCTGCTAGTGCTGCTACTCCTACTACTAATAAACAATGGTTAGAGCCTTGACTAATGACGAAACATCTCTTTAGGGTCTTTGCTGGTGTTATCTTTGTTATCATCATCGCTATCATTATCATCATCATCAATACCCCAACAATCATTATCCTCATCATCATCATCATCATCATCATCTTCTTCTTCTTCTTCTTCTTCTTCTTCTTCTTCTTCTTCTTCTTCTTCTTCTTCTTCTTCTTCTTCTTCTTCTTCTTCTTCTTCTTCTTCTTCTTCTTCTTCTTCTTCTTCTTCTTCTTCTTCTTCTTCTTCTTCTTCTTCTTCTTCTTCTTCTTCTTCTTCTTCTTCTTCTTCTTCTTCTTCTTCTTCTTCTTCTTCTTCTTCTTCTTCTTCTTCTTCTTCTTCTTCTTCTTCTTCTTCTGTTATGTGCTTTTCTTCTTTCCCAATGATGCTTTGACCGTCAACTTATTCATACAACTCACGTTGCAGGCACTCACTTATTGTTGCCATTTAGGGGCGGAGGTATCCAGTCTCATTCAACTTTCCTTAACAGTCTCATACGACAAGCACAGATTACAGTGACTTGTTTGCAGGCTCCACCCTTGGCACCCCTTTTGTCAAATCTATTATAAACGGTCACTTGTCTGAAAGATGTAGTTTGTTCTACTGCAACATGACACTTACCTTAATCTGTTCGAATCAAGGGACTTCTTCTGGGAGTCCCACAAGTGGTCTCGTATGAAGGAGATTTCTGACTTGCACTTATCGATCTCCACCGACTTGAGACCTTCCACTGTGAACGTAAACAAGCGTGTCTCAACGGTCAGTTGTCAACAGGGGACTGCCACACACGCGTGTCTCAGCGGTCAGTTGTCAACAGGGGACTGTCATACAAGCGTGTCTCAGCGGTCAGTTGTCAACAGGGGACTGTCATACAAGCGTGTCTCAGCGGTCAGTTCTCAACAGGGGACTGTCATACAAGCGTGTCTCGGCGGTCAGTTCTCAACAGGGGACTGCCACACACGCGTGTCTCAGCGGTCAGTTGTCAACAGGGGACTGTCATACAAGCGTGTCTCGGCGGTCAGTTCTCAACAGGGGACTGCCACACACGCGTGTCTCAGCGGTCAGTTGTCAACAGGGGACTGTCACGAGGTATTTATAGCGCTGCCAGATTATTGGTCGAGTTGTCAGCTTGCTGACCTCACACTCTAGACCCGGGTTTGATTCCTCGACAAGGTGAGGGTTTTTGTGTGTCTTTCAGGGGCAACAATAAACATCATAACCTGCACAGTTCGTGGCGACTGTACCAAACATGCGGCCCGTCGTTCTGAGGCCCAAGAACACGTCATAAAACGTGGCCCTTCAAGCTGTAAAGACATGCTTTAAAAAAAAATTAAGTAGAATAATTAATTTCATCATAATTTCACAAAGTTTGAATAACTTGGATTCATAAACAACAACACAATCAAAAACAACAATAACAACAACAACGGATGGTGCTCTAAATATGCCAGAAGTTAGCTAACTATACAGATACAGAGATAATACATTACTGAGATGATGATAGTCATGTTAATAATGATGATGATGTTGTTGATGATAATAGTTATGATGATGATAGTCATGTTAATAATGATGATGATACTGAAACAAGCTATGAAAGTAGTGATACTTTAATTAGACACGGTTATGACACAAAAATGACACATTAACTGCTATGAAAAAAAAAAAAAAAACATGACGGAAAATATAAATGATAAAAAAAAACAATAAAACATATCATTGCAGCCGCTGACAGCGGGACACAGGACGATGAGGCGAGGCCGACTTACCTTCCAGTTTCTTCTCCAACAAGTTGATTCTCTGGTTGAGGTGGCTTTTCGTTTCCTCCATCTGAAACACTCTGAAAGTAAACATGTCGTATCAGCTGTTAGGGAAAATGTATCAGCGCTGGAACATAGTGCACTCTGAGCCCCCCCCCCCTCCCCCCCCCCCCATTTGTTTTAGGAGACAAGCTTTATCCTATTAGCACTAAATGTATAAGGGACGACCCCCCACCCCACCACGTAGAAGGTGGTTCCATCAAACAGTGCAGTCTTCATAAAGCATTCTTGGTGATATTTTCTCACAGTCAGCTTGTCTGTCTTTTACACAGTCTGTGTCTGTCAACAAGCCAACCAGTCTCTCTCTCTCTCTCTCTCTCTCTCTCTCTCTCTCTCTCTCTCTCTCTCTATCTCTCTCTCTCTCTCTCTCTCTCGCTCTCTCATGTCAAATTGTCTCTCTCGTTAGACGACACAAAAACACACTTTATCACAACATATGTTGGATGACATGTTTATTATTTTCATACTTTATATTATTATTAATTAAAATGATCAGATACTAATTTCAAACTTTTTCTTTTCCCCTCTCTGTATTTTCTTTGTGTGTCTGCCTCACTCCTCTCTCTCTCCCCCTCTCTCATGTCTGTCTGTCTGTCTGTCTGTCTGTCTGTCTGTCTGTCTGTCTGTCTGTCTGTCTGTCTGTCGGTCGGTCGGTCTGTCTGTCTGTCTGTCTGTCTGTCTGTCTGTCTGTCTGTCTGTCTGTCTGTCTGTCTGTCTGTCTGTCTGTCTGTCTGTCTGTCTGTCTGTCTGTCTGTCTGTCTGTCTGTCTGTCTGTCTGTCTGTCTGTCTGTCTGTCTGTCTGTCTGTCTGTCTGTCTGTCTGTCTGTCTGTCTGTCTGTCTGTCTGTCTGTCTGTCGGTCGGTCGGTCGGTCGGTCTGTCTGTGCGTGTGTATTCTTTGAGTGTGTATGATTGTTTTCATGTAATGTGTTTATGAATTATTTCATTTTGTATACTTACATACTGAGATAACATACAATTGTTGTCTGAAAGATAAGTGCCTGGAAGGCCGAATGTGGGAGGGGAAATAAAGTTCGTTTGTTAGTTTGTTCGTTCCATCTGCCTGTCTGTCCATCCATCCATCCATCAACCCATCCATCCATCCACGTACCTAGCTGGCTATCTGTTTCTCTATCTGCCTGCCTGTCTATCCATACATTGATCCATCCATCCATCCTTCCATGTACCTAGCTGTATACCTGTTTCTTTGTCTGCCTGTCCATCCATCCATCCCTTCATCCATCTATCCACGTACCTAGCTGTCTAGCTGTGTCTCTATTTGCCTGTCCATTCACCCATCCATTTATCCACCCATCCACGTAACTAGCTGGCTACCTGTTTCTCTATCTGCCTGTCTGTTTAATCAACTCTCCATCCCTACATCATTCTATAGGTCTATCTCTCTTTTCGTGCCACTATCCCTCTGTCTATATATTGACACATCCATAGCCCAGCTATCCAACATCCCTCAGTGACTGAGGTCAAACAAATGCTGTCGGTGATTCATTCATTACGAAGATGTTGACAGGGCAGACAATCATGTAGCACTAAATAAAATGTTTACGCCGTTGTCTCCCCTTCTGTCCTTGTCCACGACTCATTGGAACTTACATTTTTATTTAGGTTTGACATTTGAACCGTGTCTGTCATATAGTAGGAGATTCTTTTGGTCTAACTTCTGGCGAGGACGTCTGACACAAGTCTTCTGTGGGGATCCGTACAAGCAGTACAGAGCCTGCTGACACTGAAGCTGAGGCACGGAGTGTCTCCCAATATATATCAACAACAGCCCTGACGACTGTGAGCACAATCTTGGCTCGACTGGCTCGGATACCACCTCAGATTCCACATTGTACCCAGGATTTTTGCTGAGTGATACTGGACGTATCCCAGCAAGCGGAAATGTAACCTGGGAGATACATGTTATGACACGGCAGACCAGGTCCTTTAGCCTTGGCAGGCAGGAGGGAAGCTCCGACCGGTGGACAGAATACTGCTCTTTGCATTCGGCAGCTTCTGCAGCACACGTTGTTGCAAACGCACTGGTGTGACAATCAGTTTGGAGGGAACAATGCAGTCCGAGGGAGTGATCAAGATGCAAGGGCAACATGTGGTCTCTACACAATGCCCAGGCTTTGTTCAGTGGAGAGGAGGAACTTCATACCTGACCCTAACTGGTGGAGAATTGACTGACTTTTGCTAACGCGAGCTGTCTTGCTAGTCAGACTCGCCTTTCCTATGGGCTGTGTTTCTTGTACCTGCCTATAGCACAACGGGACACACTTGTCTGGAGAGAGGGAACGATGTCAGAAGGGGAGGAAAGTCAAGAGTAAGCTAAGGATAATATAAAAGAGATAGGCTTGCACAGATCTGTCTGTATATCCAGCGTATAAGGAAACAAAATAACTAGTACGTGACGGAGAACTAGCTAAGTGTCATAAGAAAATATCAAAATTATCACAAGAACTGATATTGATCTTACTTGGCCATGTGAGTTTTGAACTGTGACAACTAAATAAAAAGACACAAGCGAGGTGAGAACTACAGGTAAAATCAATATTTCTTCTTTCCGTTGCGATTCTTCATCCTTGCTGGCCATTCCAGGGTCCATATTTGTGATTAAATAATCAATTGCCAAGTAAGGGGAGAGCAGCACTCAGCATTTAATCAGTCCTAGTGATTTTATTGTTTCCCCTGAAATCGACGAATCTCCTCCAAACATTGAACGTGCAATGTAATGTTTGTTGACATAACAATGGCCGTAACTTGATGCTTCCTAGCATGCAGATATTTCATTTAAACTCTGTCTACAAGACTTGGATTACACAAATAATTATAATTATACCGATACAGTTTGAAATAATATTAAATGTAGTTGTAGTAGTAGTAATAGTATTAGTACCAGCAGCAGCAGTACTACTACTAGTACTAGTAGTAATAATAATAATAGTAGTAGTAGTAGTAGTAGTAGTAGTAGTAGTAGTAGTAGTAGTAGTAGTAGTAGTAGTAGTAGTAGTAGTAGTAGTAGTAGTAGTAGTAGTAGTAGTTGTAGTAGATAGTGGACGTGTACGGGACGAGATGTGCAGGTGACATATCTATCTAAAGTTGAGATGTGCAGGCAACCTATCTATCTAGAGACGAGAATTGCAGGTGAACTATCTGTCTAGAGACGAGAGTTGCAGGTGACCTATTTATCTAGAGACGAGATGTGCAGGTGACCTATTTATCTAGAGACGAGAGTTGCAGGTGAACTATCTGTCTAGAGACGAGATGTGCAGGTAACCTATTTATCTAGAGACGAAACGAGATGTGCATGTGACCTATCTATCTAGAGACGAGATGAGATGTGCAGGTGACCTATCTATCTAGAGACGAGATGAGATGTGCAGGTGACCTATCTATCTAGAGACGAGATGTGCAGGTTACCTATATATCTAGAGATGAGATGTGCAGGTGACCTATCTATCTAGAGACGAAACGAGATGTGCATGTGACCTATCTATCTAGAGACGAGATGTGCAGGTGACCTATCTATCTAGAGACGAGATGAGATGTGCAGGTGAACTATCTATCTAGAACGAGAGATGTGCAGGTGACTATCTATCTAGAGACGAGATGTGCAGGTGACCTATCTATCTAGAGATGAGATGTGCAGGTGACCTATCTATCTAGAGACGAAACGAGATGTGCATGTGACCTATCTATCTAGAGACGAGATGTGCAGGTGACCTATCTATCTAGAGACGAGATGTGCAGGTGACCTATCTATCTAGAGACGCGATGTGCAGGTGACCTATCTATCTATAGACGAGACGAGATGTGCAGGTGACCTATCTATCTAGAGACGAGATGTGCAGGTGACCTATCTATCTAGAGACGAGACCTATCTATCTAGAGTGTGCAGGTGACCTATCTATCTAGAGACGAGATGTGCAGGTGACCTATCTATCTAGAGACGAGACGATGTGTGACCAGAGATGTGACATCTATCTAGAGACGAGATGTGATGGTGCAGGTGACCTATCTATCTAGAGACGAGACATGTGTGCAGGTGACCTATCTATCTAGAGACGAGACGAGATGTGCAGGTGACCTATCTATCTAGAGACGAGACGAGTGTGCAGGTGAACCTATCTATCTAGACTAGAGATGTGCAGGTGACCTATCTATCTAGAGACGAGATGTGCAGGTGACCTATCTATCTAGAGACGAGACGTGCAGGTGACCTATCTATCTAGAGACGAGATGTGCAGGTGACCTATCTATCTAGAGACGAGATGTGCAGGTGACCTATCTATCTAGAGACGAGATGTGCAGGTGACCTATCTATCTAGAGACGAGAGACGAGACGAGATGTGCAGGTGACCTATCTATCTAGAGACGAGATGTGCAGGTGACCTATCTATCTCTAGAGACGAGATGTGCAGGTGACCTATCTATCTAGAGACGAGACGAGATGTGCAGGTGACCTATCTATCTAGAGACGAGATGTGCAGGTGACCTATCTATCTAGAGACGAGACGAGATGTGCAGGTGACCTATCTATCTAGAGACGAGATGTGCAGGTGACCTATCTATCTAGAGACGAGATGTGCAGGTGACCTATCTATCTAGAGACGAGATGTGCAGGTGACCTATCTATCTAGAGACGAGACGAGATGTGCAGGTGACCTATCTATCTAGAGACGAGATGTGCAGGTGACCTATCTATCTAGAGACGAGATGTGCAGGTGACCTATCTATCTAGAGACGAGATGTGCAGGTGACCTATCTATCTAGAGACGAGATGTGCAGGTGACCTATCTATCTAGAGACGAGAGGTGACCTATCTATCTAGAGACGAGATGTGCAGGTGACCTATCTATCTAGAGACGAGATGAGATGTGCAGGTGACCTATCTATCTAGAGACGAGATGTGCAGGTGACCTATCTATCTAGAGACGAGATGTGCAGGTGACCTATCTATAGAGAGAGACGAGATGTGCAGGTGACCTATCTATCTAGAGACGAGAGATGTGCAGG